AAAAGTGTGGGGACTCATTAAAACTAGCTGAGATGGGCACATTGAACACTTCTCCAGAAGCAATTTCTCTAAGCCTTCCATGTTCTCCTCCTTCCAGTCAGGGCTGGCCTGGATTGGACTGGGCTCTATTGGGCTGGCCACCTGCCCAGGTCCTCCTCACCCCTGGACTCTACTCTCATCACCTGGCACTTCTGAAGCCTCCCCTTGCTTTTATTTCTCCTGCTGAGTTCTGTCATTTAAGCCCCCCTAATTTAATAGGTTTGTCTCATTATTTTGATTAATCATATTAACTCATGTTAATTAAGAGAGAGATTTAAGCGATGACAGAGGTTAATGGAATCAGCCCGTGTTCTTTTCTGGCTTTTGTTGGGGGCACCAACAGATGTGGGGGAAGGTGAGGGGTGAATGGGAAGTCGCACATCAGCAGGACCCAGCCAGGACAAGCCAGGGAGTCTGAAAGAGGGGAGAGAAAGGTATCGAGGAGAGATCAGTTACCAATCAGAGTTTCCTGCTAATTGAATGTCTGATTTTATTAATGATGGAATTTGTAAAGGTCCTTAAGAAAAGAATTTAGTCAGTTCAGCAGTTAACTATGAAAATTAATGCACAGGATATAAGTTAAAATGGCCCTTTTATTTGTCTTTCTTTTTCTCCTTGTGGTGGGGATGAAATGGGGCACATCACCCAGAGGGTTTTTCCATTTCAGGGTTTTTATTTGGTGTTGAAGCAGACTGGACAGGTTCAGTTCTTCAGTCAGATGCCATTAGGAAGAATAAATGCACCCACATTATTCCAGACTCTGCTAAGCAATTCAAATGTGTCTTTCCATTGAATCCTGTTTACAGAGGAGAAAGTTGAGGTTCTGAGACGTTGAAGGTTTCATGTTTGAGAGCCACAGATCAGGATCCCAACCAGGCCCATTCTTGACACTTTTATTCCCCCTCACTGTACATGGCATACTATTGCCTTCTGACTTGTGGTGCTTCTGACAAGAAGTCTATAAACTTTCTTCTGTTTCCTGTAAGTAATCTTTTCTGTTTGGCTGCTTTTAAGATTTCCCCTTTCTGACTGTTTTTCAGAAGTTTAATTATATGTCTTAGCACACTATTCATTGTGTTTGTTCCTATTTGGGGTTTACTGAGTGGACTGACCATTTATGTCTCCCTAAAATCAACAAGTTGAAGCCCTAACCCTCCAAGTGATGGTATTAGGAGGCGAGACATTTGGGAAGTAATTACATTTAGAACAAGATCATAAGGACGGATTTCCCGTGATGGAATTTGTGCTCTAATAGGAAGAGGAAGAGATGCCAGAGCTGCTACACACACACACATGCCCACACGCATACACGCACGCACACGCACCATGTGAGCACACACAAGAAGTGGTTTTAAGGCAGGAGAGGACCCACACCAAGAAATATCTTCATTTTGATTTTGGATTTCCCAGCCCCCATAATTGTGAGAAATAAATGTCTGTTGTTTAAGTCACCCAGAGCTACTCTGAGATAACAGCTCAAGCTGACTAAGATATTCAGTTTCTTGGACTTGTGGGTATATAATTTCCATCAAATATGGAAAAATTTGACAACTGTTTCTTTAAATATATTCCTCCCCTCCCCACTTCTGGATTACATGCATTAGACTGCAACAAGTATGTTCTCACAGGTCACTAGGACTCTATATAGATATTTGGAAATGTTATTCTTTCTGTGCTTCAATTTATATAGCTTCTATTGCTACATCTTTAATTCTTTAATTGCTATATATTTTCATTTTTTTTCTGAAGTGTATAATCTGCTAAATAGGTTACCTAATGGAATTTTAATTTCAAATATTATATTGTTTAGTTCTAGAAGCCCCATTTGGTTCTTTTTCATAGCTTCCTTTCCCTCTCCATTATAGTCATATTTTCTTTTAAATATTTTAGGATTTTTATAATGCTGCCAAATATTTTTGTACTCTCTGCATACACTTGCCTTTCATGCCCAACAATCTCTGCACTGGTGGGCTCCAGGGAGTCTCATTTCTGGCTGTGTCTTTGTTCTCTTCTTACCCACCCACCTCATAACTTCCCAGCAGAGTCTCTTACTCCATCCTGATACACTAAAGAGATACTCACAAAAGGAAAAGAATTCACCCCCCGAGTCTTTTTTAAAGTCTTTGTTAGTCCATCATTCTATAAAAAATTGTGTTTCTAGACTTTTTTCTTTCTCTTAATCAAGGCCTCATTCTTGCTTCTTGGAATGACTAGTAATTTCTGAATGGGTGCTAGACATTTGCGATGTTGCATTATTGAGTGTCTGAATTTTATTGTCTTCTTTCAAAGAGAAAAGAGTTTGTTTTGCTAGATTATAAAGATGTAGGTCAAGTTTGTAGGCTTGTTTTTATGCTTTATTAGTATGGGTCTAAAGTAATCTTTACTCCAGGGCTGGCTTAGCCATTATTAAGGTATTTCCTTCTGAGTGTCCCCAGTATTCATTTGACATCGCCCTACACTTTGTGATCAATGAGGACTCTAAAGCAGTATCTGGATTTCTTCTTCTATATATTTCCCTTCTCTTTGATACTCTGCCCTCACAATCCCAGCCACCTCAGCCTTTTCAACTCCAATCTCAATGTCTTCATTTCAAGATTGCTGTTCTCTGCCTGGAGCCTTCTTCTTTCAACTGTGTTTCAAGCTGTGTTCTTAAACTTTCTCCTCCAATCATAGCCTCTTTTATATAGTACAGAAACTTCTTTATAGTTGTGAAAGGGAAACCAGCATCAACACATGGTGGAGCATGTGAACACACAGTGGGGTTGGGATATGTGGTTATATGTTGCAGTCTAGTCTGTAAAATACATTCAGGCAGAAAATAGGAATGATTGTATGCTTTCCCAGTGCACTGATGTTCCATATATTTCTTAAAATTTTAAAGCTGTTTTAACAGGAGGACAAGTTTTATGTAAGCCATTCCATGGTGGTTATCAAAGTCACTGTGACTATTTTTGCCATCTATTAATGGGTACATGACCACAGCAACTCGTGAAAATCGGAACCCTCCTATGAACAATTGTGACATGAATTCTCCTTGTCTAACCCGCTGACTTCGTAGAGCTTTCCATCATCACTCTTGCCTCTTCTCCACCGCCACCTCTTGAAGGACTGGAATTGAGAAACGGTGAAATAGGCAGAAAACAGTAGCTTTCACATGACAGCTCTAGCTTGAGAATATAGTGGAAAATGTCTCTTCAGCTCCTTCAGGATCCACACTACTTTAGTTGACAAGAGGCTGCATGGACTATCTGTCTACTCCATCCATACTTTCAGTTACTAGTAAAGGAGATTACAAGGAGAGATGGGAAGAAAGGCACACCCATGTGAGAAACAGAGTGCAGGAGCTACCACGTCAATGTCCTTGCTAGTTCAGATTTGTCTATACGGAAGGCCCTCCTGAATCAGTGACAACCCCAAGACAATATTTGAGAATTATTCCTCTATGGGAAATGTTCTGGGCACAGATCTAGCTACTTTCTTCCAACGTAGTACCCAACTCCAAATGGAAGTTTAGAAAATGCATGTCATTTAATTTCTGCATCTCTCCAGAGATCCCACCTTTGCGGTGCAATTCTTGCCTGCTTTATCTTAAAACTGTGTTCTTAAACTTTCTCCTCCAATCACAGCCTCTTTTATATAGTACGGAAACTTCTCTATAGTTGTGAAAGGGAAACCAGCAGCAACACATGGTGGAGAGCAAGTGAACACACAGTGGGGTTGGGATGTGTGGTTAGATGTTGCAGTCTGGTTTAGGTAAATATAGGAACCAAGAGGAGAGTAGACGGCCTTTCAGGCCCAAGTGGTCCTGTTACTGCTTCTGATGTTCCTCACCTTCCCAACACAGCACTTTGCAAATTGTGTGTGTGTGTGTGTGTGTGTGTGTGTGTTGAAGAACTGGGGTATAGGTCAGAGGTGCAAGGGGTGAGAGGATTGACCAGAAACAGAGTGGGCAACAGAACAGGCAGACTGACTGAAATACACTGCTGAGGGGAACAGCGGGCAAGACAGGAGAGGTCTGCTGCACTATGTGGGTACCTTCCTGGCTGGGGACTGAACTCAGGCTGTAGTGTGATAGTGCTAAGACTTAACCCCCAGGCCACCAGGGAGACCCTCCACTGTGCAATTTATAATTATAGCATCCCTCCCAATCCTCACCAGATTGGCAAGAGAAAGGCCTTTCTGTCTTATAGCTGTTTCACACACAAGATTCTCGGGGTGGATTCTTTTCCTTTTGTGAGGATCTCTTCAGTGTATCAGGATGGAGTAAGAGACTCTGGTGGGAAGTTATGAGGTGGGTGGGTAAGAGGAAAAAAAAGACGCAGCCAGAAATAAGAGACTCCTTGGGGCCTACTAGGGCAGGGATTATTGGGGGATGAAAGGCAAATGTATGGAGAAATATTCTGTCACATCCTCTGGGTTCCCCATGTTTTGGGGGTTAGCTAAATCAATAGTCCTTGAATGTAACAATTCATGAATTTTTGAAAATACTGATGCCCCCAGATATTTAGACAGATTGGTCTGAGATAGAGCCCCCAAATCAATAGTCTATGAAGAACCCCAGCTGATTCTAAGAACCACATTCATGACCAAGAACCACTGCACTAAATACTATATGGCTTTATTTTTGTCACTGTGGTTGAAAATCAGCCACATTAGCATAATCAGCCTATTAGCAAAATGTGAGCTCACGAGTGGAATGGAGTGACTTGTATATCAAGAAGTGCAGTAAAGGAATCTTTATGGCTGGTCCTCCCTGAACGACCGGATACTCCTGGGCTTGCAGTTTGCCAGGAGGTTGGCATGGGGTGGTGGGGGAGGTGGGTGGATGTCTCATGCTCTTAGCCCTGGCAAGTCACTTAATCTCACTAGGTGTCACTTTCAGCCTCAAACGAAAGATCATCACAGATGTGTGGCCCAGTAAATGAGTGTGTGTGTCAGTTCTGGAGCCAACTTGTTCTTACCACTTCCAAATCACGTAACTGGCATGTCCTTTAGCCTCGCTCAGACCAGGTTTTCTCACCTGCAAAACAGGGATAATAAAACTGAACGGCTTGGGGTGAGGATTAAATGAATCACTACATGGAATGTACTTAAGAGTAATTATTGGCACGTAAGACGTGTTAGCCAGTCAGTCACAATTTCCCCAATTCCTGCTAGAATCACCCAGATAGCCCCCCCTCTTCCATCCATACCCCAACATGCTCTGGCAAAGAGCACTTCCTTCTGGTGGGCTCTAATCTTTTATTTGCCTGATTGTTTAAAAAAGCAATAAATATACAATTCTAAACAGAAGTTTATAGATATGGAAACAGCTATTCAGTTGGACTTGGGAGATCATATATGGTCAAAATATTTGCCTTTCCTTAAGAGCAAAGGGAGTGAATTCATAGCCTGTAAGCTGAGGCCCAGATGCTGCCAGGTCTGCAAGTGTTTCTAGGTGTTCACGCCCCTGCAAATGTACCTTTGCGTTTCCTCTTTTGTGGATGCAAGGCTGCAAAGTGCTCAATGAGAAGGGAAAGCAGGAATTACCTAAAAGATACGAGTGTGTTAATTCTGGGAGCACTGATGAGCCCCATGTGATAAAGGGTGAGTGCCAGAGACAGAAAGACCATGGCCACAGGATCAGTTAGATTCCTCATTTCTACCAACTTCCCCCATTCTTCTGGGAAGAGCACCCTGATTTTCCTCTGGGAAGTGGGAAGCCAGTCCTCCCCGCCCCCACTGCTGTGGGAGGAGAGGTGAATGAATCAAGTTGGCAATCAGCATATTTCATCTTGCTGACTACAGGGACTAATTCAGGATGTGACTCAAGTTCATCTAGTTCATTTCAATGACTTGAAATCAAGTCATTTCAGTTAGGTTTGTAGAAACCACTTTAAAAAGAGCTTCTCTTGTCCCAGTGTTGTGCGTGTTACCACTGCTGGTGTCCAGCAGTTTTGTCACACCTGATTATCCCTATTATATAGATTGTTGAGGTGAAGTTTTCATGTCTTTGAGGATGGTTTTTGTATGAAGGAGATAGTTATTTAGGGGTTCAAACAATTCCTTTGTAGGGTCCCCCCTTATTTTTATTGTGATTAAAAGAGAACACATAATATACAATTTTCTAATTTTAAGTGCCCAGCTCCATCCTCATTAAATGTATTCAGATTGTTGTAAAACAGAAAACAGCTTTCCACATATTTCCTCTTGCAAATGTGAAACTCTGTATCCATTGAACTGTAGCTGCCCCTCCCAGCCCAGTCGCAGCTCCTGGAGGCCATCATTCCTTACCTTCTCATTCTCCGAGTTTAATGATTCTTGGTCCTCATGTGAGTGTAGTCCTATCCTTGTGTCTTTTTGTGCCTGACTTTTTTTGCATACATAATGTCCTCAAGGTTCGTCCTTATGTGACACGTGACAGGATTTCTCCACAGGCCTTTGAGATCAGCTTACTCAACGTATTATCCTATTTATCCATTAGTTCACAAAGCTTGTTATTCTTATTTTAGACTAGAATTCAAGGGGGCCCCCTTGAATTCTATTTTGCCCCCATTTCAAAACCTAGTTCATTAAATACTTTTGAGGATTTTCAACTGCGTTGGTAAATGTAATATATTTTATTTCCTTAAGTACTTACGTTTCCTGACTCAACAAATAAAATCTTCCCAATCACTCAAATAACTCTCAATAAATCCATGAAATTAATATAGTGAGTTGAAGTTCCCCTAATTCTCCCACTACCATAGAATGTAAAACCCTAAGTGTTAAATCAACTAAGTAATTGTACATTTAAATTGGAGTTGAAAGCTGTCACTCTACTAGTCAAAATCCCCTAAACTTTGCAAGTATATAGAATTTCAAATTTTTTTACAGATTTCTTAATGTAAAAATATTAAAATATAGTTTTGATTTCTTGAACGTTTCTCTACTTAATTACACATGTTCCTGGAGCTGAACAATATATAACTCCTGGGAAACCAAGACATCCGGTTAGCTGAGGCTACTGATTGAGATTCTGCCAGGGAGTCTAGTCCCTGCCCCTTTTGGGGTCCACTCAATCTTATTTATGGTTGCTATCATGTCAAGGCCTCACAACTCAAAGAGGGTGAAATCTGCTACCCTCATACTCATGTTACCTGCACTCCAGGCTGCCGGTAACCCCAGTTAGGTGTCCTGGGTTGTATCTGCCTGTTCTCTTTAATCTTTCAAGATTTGTATATATCTCCTTTTCTAGGCAAGAATTTAATGAGATTCTGCATTCTTTTTATATCCTTCCTGTTGCTTTAAGATACATACAGCTCTTCAGATTGAATGTTGGTTACTCTGGATCTCTGACTTGGTCTTGCCTGGTTTATTGTTACATTATGTGAGGTCCTTGTCTGGCACAGAGAAGGAAACTGAGGCCAAGAGCTTACCTGAGCTCCTCCAGCTCTCACTATGCATTGGGGACATGACCAGGATTTGGTCTGTGGACTAGGACACCAGTGGTCTCTCTGCCACCACACTGCAAATGACACACTAGGATATTTACAAGTGAGTCTCAAGAGTTGTTGTGTCTCCCTTTCAAGTAATTACTCCATCAACAAATAGTCACCCGGCTTGTGTCAGGAGCCAGGCTCCTGCCACGGTGCAGGGAGTAGCCTGGAGGAGACCCATGTTAGCTGCTGCAGAGACTGAGGAGGGGTGTGAGGGGAGGGCAGCCCCAGGAGACTTCACCCCCTCCAAGGGGTGAGGATGGCTTCCAGGTGTGGATGGCGGGAGGGTCAAACTCACTAGGGCCAAAGTTAGAGGATCAAAAGCATCTCTGGGATGGGGGTGGTGGAAGGTCTATGGAACTTTTCTCTCAATGACTCTTTTCTGGTTTTTAGGTAATAACATGACTGTTAAGGTCATGAGAAAGAATGTTAGCTGAGTGTGAAAACCAAAGACTCAGCAAGAAGTTAGTCAAATGGTGAGTCCTGGTGAAGACAGCCAGATGCCAAAGTGTCCAAACCCATCTCCTCGGGAAGGTTGGGAGAAACGTCCTTGGGAGGAAGAGCAAAATGGACATTTTTTCCCTCCCTCGTCACCTTCCTCCCTCACTCTTTGCTGCTGCTGGGGCTGGCGCGTGCCAGGGGCTGGCGAGCAAACCATGGGCAAGAACAAAACTGGGCTTTGTCCACCAGGAGCCCCTGAACGGGCTCCGGGGAGACGGTTATTCACTGTCCACATGTTACTTCAGTAGGGGACTGTTTTTAGTTTGTTGTGTTGTTGTTTTACTGTGCTCTCTCCTGGTGACGTGAAATAGGCATAGAACTTGCACTCATTTCCGGCATTCAGTATGAGCCAATGTGACCGGAAATGCTCCTTAAGAAGTTTCTTCTTATAAAGTTCCCATGTATTATACCTTCAGATTTTAAGACCTCATTTGTCAGATAGATAAACACACACACAAGAACATGCATGTGTATTAAAAAGGACTCTGCATGGAAAATAAATGAGGAAGAAATGTCAAGAAAGCCTTATCAATGAGGGTATCTTAGTATCTTTGGAGAGAATCCCAACCACTGACTAAACAGATATGGGAGGGTAGAGCCATGATAAAATAGAAAATGCTGTAACAGCTGACTCTCTATAAAGCTGGGTGGTGTGTGGCTGCAGTATTTCCTGGGGTGGAATTTCTGGATTCCACATGCCGTCCTCCCCAGCCTGACACATGTGTACACGCGTGATCCCAGCATCGTGTGCCGCTGCCCTTAGTCCCCGGCTGGCCAGGCGGGTCCCCGCAGCCTGCTGTGGACGCCGGGCAGCACTGCTACCTTCCCAGCCCATCCATATGTATGTGCGTCTATATCCCAGCAGCGGTCGGCATCATTCATTTCCAAACCCAGCATGCATTCATTTTCATAACTTTTTGTTCCATTACAATATTAATGGGACTATCAATGGGAAAGGACAAGAGAAGCATTTTTAATGTTTATCTGACAGTTGCAAATTTCACTTGAGGTTGTTTACTGGGATCTGATTGTTGGCAGAGAGGAGCAGGAGAGGCGGCAAGATTAATGGGATCACAGAAAGAGGAGATGTATTTATGGGCCTTCTGAACACCAGCTAAGAGTAATAAAAAGTCCTGCCGCACCCTTCCCCAAGTGAGACTTAAGAAGTTTTAAACGCTGAGAAATGAGGGATTGTTTTAATTAACTGCCATCTAATCCAGGTGGCCTGTTCAAAGTGAATCATGTTGCACTTATGTCTCAGTCTATTTAAAATAAGAGGGCCCTCTTCCATCCCCCACTGCTCATCTCTCTTTCTGCCCCCATCCCCCTGCCCCCTCTAGCCCTGGATTGCTGTCACTCTGCCTTGCCATATTTTTTCTCTTTCTTGAACTCCCGCACAATCTCAAGGAGAGAGAGGTCCTGGCGGGGCCTCTGATGGGGGGAACTGGAGAGAGGAGAGAAAGATGCCAGCGGTTACTAGGGAGGGGCAGGGGGAGACTCAGTCTTGGACCCTAGAGAGGGGTTCCCTGCTTCTCTCTTATTTACCCTGTTTCTGGCTGCTTAGACCTGAACAACAAGGTCACGGCCCCAAGACACCCTCCTCCCACCTGAGAACCTTGTGAAAGTCACCTTTGTGGGCAGGGACTTGAGACACAGAGGAGGACCTGTCCCTGAGCCTCCCGGGGAGAGACGGGGCGGTGGGAGAGGAACTTCCCAGCAACAGGCCCTGGACACTGGCTTCCTGGCTTCTGTGGGGACTTGCTGGGGGCTGGCTGAGCCCTCCTGCCTCCTAGGCTTGCCAGTGCGGCTGCCATTTAAAATATGGAGCCTCCAGTTCAGTGCGAACATGCAACATATTTATACTCAAAAAATTAATTTCTGTTTATCTGAAACTGGCAACCCCCTACCAGAGAGAGAAATGATCGCCCCTCCCACCCTGCTGCCTCCTCGCCATGATGATCCCAGATTCTGCCACCGCCAAGTCCGCTTTCAGAGTTGAATTAGGAGTTATTTTGTCTCCTGGCCTCAGTTTTTTGACTAAACGAGGAGCGCAACGCTTCACCTATTTCTAGGAATAGGATAATGACGGCAGTGAATGAAGTGCGCCGAGAACAGGCTCAGCTAACTTCAGCCAAGGCTCGGATGGAAGCTGTTTCAGCCTCTGCAGGACGATGGGCTCTACCACAGGGCGCCGCCCCAGGGACTCGTGGGAAGCACCCCGGACGCGGGAAGCACGTGAGTGTGGCTGTGCGCCGGCCACAGAACATTTATCACCACAAACAGGCCCCGCGGGAGCAAGCGCTCGGGTTGCTGGGCCCCTGGTCGCGCACCCAGCCCACGGCGGGCACGGCCATTACCGGTTCTCGGCGCCCTGCTGGCGTCTTCATACTCTCCCTTCGTCGCAGCCTATTCAGTCACGCTCCGCCACTCGTCCCCGCATTCCTGCGTCCTCCGCACTGCACCACACTGCGCTCCGCTACGACGCCACGCCACGCACGCCACGTCACGTCACGTCACGTCACGCGCGCCATGCCACGCACGCCACGCCACAGGGCGCCACGCCTTTTGGCTGAGTGCGCATGCGCAATGGAAGGGCGGAAAAGGCTGCCGCTTCACCCGCTACTTACCCCACACCCGGACTTGGGCTATGGCAAATAGGAAGCCCCTGCTCAGTGCTACCCGTTTTTGTTATACGTAATGGGTGATGAGTTCTGGGCCAGGGCCGCTAGGTAGTGTGAAGTGAGTATGACCCAAAAGCTCTCATAGCCTCTCATCGCCTGCTTGTGATGCCTGGAATTTCAGCTGCAGACTCAGTGTTTCGGGCTAGGCAGCTCTAGAAGGCGCTCCTTAACCTCACCCCCTCGTGTAAGGGCTTTTACAGGCACCCACCAGCGTTCAGCTCTGCCAGATGATGTTGTGTGTCATTCATGTTCGCACTCACTCATGGGGGAAAGGTGATTATTTCTGCATTTTTATGATAAGCCAGTAGGAGCTACTGAGTAACTCATCTAGAGTCACACAGTCCATCAGGGCCAGTGGGGACTTGGGTCCAGGTCTCTGGCTTCTGCCCACAGTTCTGGGATTAATGTATAGCATGTAAAATGAGGCCTGAACCCCCTCACCTAATCAATGTGGGTATTAATGATGGTCATTTCCCAGGACGGATTGAACTGGCAAGAGTAGGTCAAACCTGAGATTGGCAGAGAAGGGATGAGAGAGATGGGGCAGGAGGAAGAAAATGAATCCAGAAATGAATAGAAAAACTATGGAGGGGGCCTCCCTGGTGGCACAAGGGGTTGTGTCTCAGAACTATCGAGTTATCAGCAGCCACTCTAGCACCTCTCCTGTCTCACCTGCTGCTGCCCTCAGTGGTATATTTCATCAATGTACCTGTTCGGCTCCCTACTCTGTCTCTGGTGAATCCTCTCACCTCCCCCCCCCCCCCGCCCCCAACCTCTTGCCTACACCTCAGGTCTTGTATGCATAAATAAATAGATCTTTTAAAAAATTACAGAAAAAATTCAGACTAAGTTTTGCTCAGAGCCATGCTACCACTCAGCTTCTGTTCCTTGAGTCAAGTGGTGCTATATAAATATGTGTGTATATATAAATTGAATCCCTCCCCATTAAAATAACAACAGTGTTTTTCAAAAAAGTTGAACAAAAATATTAAAATTTATGTGGAACCATAAAAAGCTTCAAATAACAATAACAATCTTGAGGAAAGAAGTCCATAGATATCACATTATCTGACTTTAAACTATACTACAAAGCAACAGTGCTAAAAGCAATACGGCACAAAAATAGACATACGGATCGATGAAATGGAACCAAAAGTCCAGAAATAAATCCATATACATATCAATACTTAATTCATGATAAAGAAGCCTCAAGTATACACTGGGAGAGTCTTGCTAGCAAATGACGTTTGAAAAACCACTCATAAAAGAATGAGGTGAATCACTGTCTAATCCCATGCACAAAAATAAATTCAAAATGGATTAAAGACTTAGATATAAGACCTGCAACAATAAAATATTTAGAAGAAAACACTGGCATGCTTTTCACAACGTCAGTGATAGATGTCTTTGGAGACTTGGCGCTGCAAGGAAAATATAAAGTTTTTTGTACAATGAAAGAAAATATAAGTAGACTGAAAAGATATCCTAGTAATGGGAGAAAATATTTACACATTACACAACTGACAAGAGAGAAATACCCAAGACATAAAGCAAACTTACTCAGTGTAACAATTAAAAAAGATAACCCAATTAATAATTTACAACAGATCTGAACAGTGTATTCACCAAAGAGGAGGCCCAGAAGGCCAACAGAAGCATGAAAAAAATGTTCATCATCACTTTTAATAAGGGAGCTGCAGGTCAAAACCATGATGAGATATCATCTCACACCCAGGAGAATGGCACACATTAGAAAGCCCCCGACATATGCTGGAGAGGGGGAGGAGAAAGGAGAGCCCTCTTACACTGTTGGTGGAATTGTAAACTGGGGCAGCCATTTTGGAGAGTGATCTGGATTCACGCTGCATGGGGCCTATTGTATGGTTATACCAGCAGTTATTGATCCACGTTGCCAGCACTGGACATATGGATTGTTTCCAATTTTTGCTATTATGATCAATGTTACCATAGAGATTCTTGTTTTTTGTATCTCTGGGGCACATGTGCAAGTTTCTTGGTGATGTGTATTGAGAGTAGAACGCAGGAGGGCAGAGGGCATTAGTGTTCAGCCTCAGTGGGAGTCACTAAATAGCTTTTCCAAAGTGGTTGCACCGATTTACACACCCACTACCATCAATATCTTCATAACACTTAATGTCAAACTTAAGTTTTATCAGCTCAGTGGGGGTAAAATTATCTCTCATTATGGTGATGATTTGCATTTCAATGATTATCAATGATTTGAGTTGTTTTCTCTTATGCTTGTAGGTAGCTTCTTGTTTCCTGTAGTGTATGTTTTTTTTTTTTTTCATAACCTTTATTCATTTGTTTATTGGGTCTTTTCCCCTATTAATTCATTAATTCATGTCTGGTCCATGCTGCTTTGGACAGAACCAGGGAGGGGTGTAGGCACCACCAGCCACTGGGGGGACTGTGTTTGGTTCCAAATCTGCCACACAAAGCAATGTGGGCTTGAGCAGCAGTCATGCCGCCTGGCTCCCCAAAGCCATTTCAAAGATGCTCTGTTTCTTCTGCTGCCTATTGATATGGTCTAGATATTAGTTACCTGTGCTACAAATATCTTCCATAAATTTTGTGATTTACCTTTTCATTCTCACTGTGGTATCTTTTGGTAAACAAAAGATCTTTATTTTGATGTAGGGAAATACACTAATCATTTCCATTATCATGATTTTCACTCCTGTGTATTAAGAAATCATTTTCTACATTGGGGCATACAGATATCATACCTTCACATGCCATCTCCTTGTTGGAAGACATCCCAAAGGGATGTCTGAAGGGATGTCTTCACTCCACTGAGCCATGAGAAGACTCTTAAGTAATCGAGTCCCCACTTTGCAACTCTTGCATGCTGTGCACACAGTAGTCTCTCTTTCCTGTGACTTCATTTCCTGTCTTCTTATAACCTCTTTTTGTTTAAACTCTGCAGCAGACTCTGGGTTCACACTTACACACCTTGCCAAGCACCTTGCCCAGGCTTTTGATGTCATCGTTCTGGGTGGCCTCTGGGTGATTGTACGTGTGTCAGTGCCGAGAACACTGCTCTGGAGTTGTGGGAAAGAGTCAGGGTCCAGGGTGTGTCCTTTGTGAAGAAAACCCACTTCTCACTCACCTTTGGCTTCTTACCTCAATCCCAGTCCCAACTCACAAGCCAGGAGGAAATGTGGGGTACTGAATGCAGGCCCTGGAAGACCCCAGAAGGTGGCCTGCCGAAAGTCCACCAGCCTCCGCCCATCAAGGCCACCATATTGGTGGTTTCAGTTGCCTCTGAGGAGAAATGGATGAATGGGCGGGTATGGGGTCTGGAAGGCTGGGAGGCCATCAGCACCATCTGCGAGAAAAAGGGATGGTGGGAGAAGCAAAAGAAACACAAAGTTTTGACAGGAATCTGCCTCAACCCCCCTCCCCTCCCCATCTGTTTTGGAAAAATGTAAATGCACCACATTCCCAGGTGACTGGCCGGCGGGTAGCCTCTTTGGAATTCTGCGAACTGGCCATCTGTCGTCTGGTAATAAATGATAGCTATAAAAGAAAGTGATTATGGTGCTGATAGGGGAAGAGGCATTTGTTTATATTCTTATAATATGTATCAGATTGAATAGAAATTATCACTTAAAATTGACAAATGGAGAGCAGGGTTCCTTGGAGAGGGAGTCAGGGACACGGTGGCAGTGATGGGACCATGGGCAAACTTTATTCGACCAAGTGTCAGGGACCAGTTCAGCTCCAGAGGCTCCCGGGACAGGCCAGGTTCCCAAAGGTGAGGACCCAGCTTCCGAGCTTCTCTGGAGGTCTTGGGTGTGCATTTGGCAAATGTGACTAGGTCAATGCACAGGCGGGTTCTCCCCTCCTGCTAGGAGATCAGCACAAAGATCAACTGGGCTCCGGCATGTGTCCCTGTGGGAGCCACTTAACCCTGTGACTCTTAGGTGTGCCCCCCAACAAATGACTACCCCTTCATTTGATGTTTCCCCTTCCAGCCAAGATTTTCCAGCCTCTGGTGTGAAACCTGCCAGCAGAGTCTCCAACTTCCTGAATTTGCCTCTCTCTACTCTTCCTCCCCAGCCCTGCTTGCCTCTGCTGTTCTCCTGGAGCAGCCCATTTCCTTGCAGGTTCCTGGGGGCTTGCTTCCCTAATGTGCCCCCTTTCTGGTTACCTCCTGCTTCCCAGCCCAGCTTCAGACACCTTCAGGGCTCACCTCCCCGAGAAAGAAGCAAGGGGAGTAGCTGGGTCAGGCCTCGATGTCCTCCTGCACACACACCTTGGCTAAAATCCCTAGTCTCCTCAGGTCTACAGTGGGGTCATTTTTCCAGGTCCCAGAATCATATAATTTGATGTTCAGAGTGCTAACCATAGTATCATACCCTAAAGACAGGCAAGGAAGGTTTATCCCTCCCATCTTCCACTGGGATAGCAGAGCATCGGAGAGGAAAAGTTACTTGACCAAGGCCATATGTCATGTGCTGTGGAAGGGTCACTGTCCATCCTGAAGACCAGAACATGAGGAGCAAAGAACATCAGTCCTACTTGAGGCCACATCCACAAGGCGTTGCACCCACAAGGCATTGCTACATCCCAAGATCATGAGACATTCCAGGTGTGGAACCCCTACTGGAGAACTTGGAGGTCTGGGGATGAGAGTTTTCCCAGAGTCCTTCTGCCCCATCCCAACCCAGCAGTAGCCTTCTGAGGCTTTGTGGGAGACTACTGTGCTGGCACAGGAACCTTTGTGCCACACTCAGAAGCATGAATGGAACCATGCAGATGGGCAAT